TTTGTTTTGTTTTTTATTAGTTTTAGGTATATAGCACAATGGTTAGGCATTTATATAATTTATGAAGTGATCCCCCCAGTTACTCTAGTAACCATATGGCACTATACATAGCCATTACAAGGAGTTTTCACTGCATAACCTTTTTTATCTCTGAAATGCTGAACCATGTGACTCGGTCACCTATTCAATAAATGAAACCTGGCCTTTCTCTTGATTCCACCATAGCACCTAGCACAGAACCTAGTACACAGTGAGTGGGTGCTCAATAAATGTTTGCCTGATTTAACTGAGCTAGCAAATAAAAGCCCAAGCACACAGCACATTCTGAATAAACACTGGATGCCTTGACTTAGCAGGGTAGGCCTTTGCCACGCAGAAGTAAACCAGGAAGTAGACAGAGGTAACATAGACTGAGATGACCCCTCTGGCATAAAGCCCTGTCCTGCCTTGAAAACCTGCATCAAGGAGAGATTAAAACCTGCATCAAGGAGAGATTAAAAACTAACCACTGACGTGTCCTCTAAATTCCCCTTCTGCAGCTCCACATGCTGGGCAGAAAGCTGGCCAGATCTGGAGAAAGCTGGTGGCTCTTACCTGGCTCTGGAGGCTCCTTGCTCACGTGCTCAGCTTCCATGGACCCAATGCCCCCACTAAACATGATGGGCTTGATCCACTCACGCCGCTGGCCATCTGGGAGCTGAAGGCCCAAAGAGCGGGCAAAGCCTGGAATATGGACATCACAGGGAGAGGGGACGGGTTCCAGTCACCCAGTGTCTTCAGCACTCACTCGGTCACACATTCCATCCCACCTCTGGCACTAGGTGTCTATTATTCCCAATGTCCCCCAGCCTCACCGGCCAGCACTGGTTCCCCAAACTTGTTGCCATAGTCAGAAGCCCCATTACTGGCCTCAATGGCAATCTCCAGGGGCTGGGCAAAGTTCCTAGGATACTGGAAGCTCGGATCCTCCCAGGGCAGACTGTATCCTGGATGCGAAAGAGAAAGTCAGAAGACAGAAGACAGAGTAGTCAGTCCTTCAAGAAGAGTTAAAGTCACCAAGGACTACCTGTATAGTGGAAGTCCTATTTTAGGAAGGTATAGAACTTGCCATAAAGCACTGGTCTTGCTCCCTACCTTCCACATCAGACTCCCTTCTGACTTTTAGGACCAGAATCCTTAAGACTGTCTAAGAAATTGGATTTAGAGGAAGGCGGTGGTCATAAGTTCTAGTCAGTATCATACTTTCTTGCTGAGCGGACACCAGTTTATAAAGAAAATTGTGGTTCTACAAAGCCTGGCAACATGGGTCTCCCTGGCCTATAGTCCTTCTGACCATGGTCGGTGAAAGGCCAGCTACTCTAGAGCCCTCCTCCCAAGAAAAGATGACCCAGGATTACCTGTGACCTAAGAAATAAACATGTTCAGTGCCTGCCAGGACAAGGAATTTGGAAGAGAAGATAGCTAGAGGAAAGAGATAGGACCTGGGATGTGCAGGTTTCCAAAGCAATAGCCAGCAGTGCCAGCCACCACATGGGCCCCACGGCCCGTGCACTGGACATCTCGAATCCGGCCCCCTGTGCCCGTGGTTGCACCGCAGAAGGGGGCTACTCCTGTGAAGAGAGGGGGATATGGGTACTGAAGAAACAAACCCCAGCTTTGACCATCCCATGGAAAATGAGGACAACCTGCCTACCAGACTGTTTTTCCTAGGCCCAGACTAGGGGCCTGGGACTTTCACCCTACCCTACACTCTCTGACTTATCCCTCCTGGGACTCAGCTCACCTGTAGGGAAGTTGTGGGTCTCTGCTGTGAAGACAACATGTCTCAGACCCTGCTGTTGCCGGAAGCAGCTTGGCTGTGTGGGGTCCTCAGGCCGCAGGAATTGGACTTCCCTCCCCTGGATTGCACTGTAAACACATCCACTCTGGACCTTGCTTCCTTCCTGGGATCTGTGCTTACCCCACCAAGGCCTGGGGCCTCTCTACTTCCAGCCTAGAACACAGCCTACCTGCTGTTATCACAGAACTTGAGGACATTGTTGGGGTTCGAGGATGCCTGTGTGCTCATGATGGACTCAAACAGCGACTGTGCCAGCTCTTGCCCATTCATGTGAAGTTGGCCCTTGAAGAACCAGTGTCGGCTGTGCTCACTGCAGAAGGTGACGGAGGAGGGGAAGGCAGGGTGGAAATATGGGGGTCATTTCTCAGGCCTTGCCATATCTTCTCACTAGCATTAACAGCAGAGTTACGGCCAGCTCATACTTAGATAATAAAGTACATTCCTATAATCTTCAAACATTGTCATTGTGGATTGTCCAAATCCAAAGTAAAGAGAAAACCAAGATTTGAAAGTAGACCAGTAGATAGATGGGGAGCCCAGGCCTCAAACAGACTCAGGGAGGTCCCTAAGGCAAGAGAGAACCATAAAAGCAAGTCCCTGTGCTCTTTCCTTCCAACCTCCAGAGGCTCAGACATCAGAATATCCCCATCCCTCCTCACCTATTGGACTGAGCCAAGTCGAAGGCCTCCACAATGCTAGGGTTCCGCTGCAGCTCCTGGAAGCGCTTGGTGTAGAAATCCAGGTCCCAAGAGTCTAGGGCCAGACCTAGGAGACAAACCCCAGAAGAACTGTTACACTCAGGCCGCCATTTCCCAGGTCTCCGTACCCCAACAAGCCTAGCGTGGGCCTTCCTCCCAGGGACCTCTGCTTACCTAGCTCCTGGTTGGCTCTCTCTAGGGCAGGCCGGCCCTCAGCCAGTATATCGATTGGGCCATCAAGGGGTGTTGGGATCCTCCCAAGGGAGAAGCTCTGGATGGGACAGGGGAAGTGCTGCTCTGTCATCCGGTCATGCAGGGTAGCCAGAGCAATAGCCTCCATCTCAGCTGAAGGTGGGTGGGTAAACTAGGGGCGGAGACACACAGAGAGGACAGGGGTAGTAAGTTGAAGAATAGACAGAATGGTCCACTCACCATCCTCCAAGCCATACAGGTCCAGCCCACTGCTAGCCCATAAGGCACCTTTGTTCAGATTAGAAATAGATACCCCTCCCAGGAATGATGTCAGGATACAGAGATTAGTAAGGGGAGCATAGGCTGGATTTCAGTCCCATTCGTTCTGCAACCAGGTGCCCTCAGGCAGTGAATAACCTGCAAACAGGGCAGGCCTAAAGCCAGGAGCTCCTCCTTTTGTTTCTCCCATTATTTCCTCATAGTTCAGAACCCAATCTCTTGTCTCTGGTCCATCTCCTCCTGATCTTCCACCCTGATTGCCTACTACCTCACCGAGAGCAGGTAGCGACGAGTAGTCTCCACACGGTCCACAGTCGCCAGCCCAGCAGCCTGGCACACTGACACAATGTTGGTAGATGCCGGGGTGGAGAAGTTCAGCCTGAGGAGTGGACCATATGGTTAGGACCTGAGAGCCCCAGCTGAGAAGGTGGATCCTGCCCACTGCTAACCAGCCATTGCCCATCTCTTACCCGCTACCAGTGGACTCCAGCCTCAGACCTGGGCACCAAGAAACCTGCTTTCAAAGGTCATTCAAATCAAACCATAACTGTCCTAGCATAAAAATGCTTTGATTTCAACTTCTCAGAATGCAACCAGTTTTACTTCCAGAATATGTCTGGGAGCTAGTTCATTCTTCAAAGACATTCACATTGTAGCACATCTTCTTATGTGAGGAAGGCATACACATGGCTTTGTAGGCAGGGAGTGGGATGCAGAGAAGGATCAACAAATCTCCCAAGGATCACAAGAGGAAGAAATGAAAGAATGGAAGTGGAAGGGGTGGGCAGTGCGTTTGGAAGAGATCATGTGCCTGGAATATGGAAGGAGCTTGCCCCAGGAGAGAAGCTTGCCTGGGTCCGACTTCTAGCAGCAGGTCACTGGAACCAGAAATGAGCCAGGACTCCTGAGCGACATCATCCAGTAACAAGGGGCAGCCAAAGAGCCATATCAGCTTCTTCATCTCCTCAGCACTTGGAAGGGACTCAGCTACAGGGAGACAAGGCAAGGCTACCTTGAGACACTGCCAATGGCACTGGGATACCTCCTGAAGGTATCCCAAACCTGTAATCCAAAACCTGTCTACAGCCATGCCACCCTGAATGTTCCTGATCTCATCTGATCTCAGAAGCTAAGCAGGGTCGGGCCTGGTTTGTACTTAGATGGGAGACCACCTAGA